AATTACCAGCTTCATATATTTCTGGCATATTAAGGCTTTGCCTCCCAGTTCAAGGCCTCAGTGGTTCTGGGGCAGCTGGTAGGAAGCCAGGCTCCAGCAGTGCCTTGAGTTACTGCAGAAAGCAGAGCTTATCTGTAAAACTCTGGCATCTCCAGCAGAAGCCCTGGATAGCGGGGACCCAGGGCTGGTCTCAGGTCAGTAGGGGCAGACAGCAGCCAGGTGAAGATTGTTCTGAGTTCTTGGAGGCAGGTTTGCATCTCATTTGTCCACTTTGGACCAGTGAATTCCTGGTGCCATCATAGAACTTTCTGCAGACTAGGTGTTTGGGTGGTCAGAGGGTCAGATTGATTTGGGAGTGGCAGGTGAGGACTCGGGATAGAAGATGGTCTTTCTGCCTTGGAAGAGAGGCGTGGTGCTGTGCTGGGGCTTGGGGATGAGCTGGCGGTGGGTGGCGGACAGGAGGCCTCAGCTGGGAGGCCAGGCTGCTCTTGACTGAGCCAGGAGCCACAGTAGCTGCCCAGACAGGAGGGATTTGTGGGTGCCACAGCTCTGGTGGGTACACATTTGTTAGGGAGAAGCAGTATCCAGACCCAGGCGCTTCCCCCTCTGGAGCTGCTGCCAGCCAGGGAGGGCCAGTCTCTTGGCAGTGGAAGGCAGGAATAGCTCCTGGCCTAATGGCAGCCAGAAAAGAAACTGCAGGAGGATATGGGTTTGTTGTGGAAGAGGTGGGGCCTGAAACCCTGAGGACCCAGAATCCTGCCCTCAGTTTCTGATTGACACTGTTGACTAAAGGTGACTTTTTTCATTGGTGGAGGAAGATTCGTTCCTTAGCCTCCTGCGTCACTGGGATTACAGGCGTGCGCCACCCCACCTCGCTAATTTTTATATTTTTTGGTAGAGACAGGGTTTCGCCATGTTGGCCTGGCTGATCTGAAACTCCTAACCGCAGATGAGCCACCCGCCTCAGCCTCCAAAGTGCTGGGCTTGCAGACCCACTGTGCCTGGCCTCATTTGTTATTTTTAATAAGCATTGAGACTTAATTGGGGCATCCTTGATGTTTTCACTGAGAACCATTTATCCAAAACAAGACCTGAGCACTCTCACTGAAAGTATTCAGTATATGCTCTGAATTGAAGCTTTATTAAAACTCAAAATGAGCAAAGAATTTGAGCAGTCATCTGTGAAAATGCCAAGGGAGGGTTAAGGGGATTTGGCTCCACCCCTTATCTCCAATAGCCCCTTAAATCCAGCTTCCCAACAAGATTAAGAAGCCTGTGTAAAGGGAATAAAAATACCTTCATAAAACTGTGGTTTTCATTGGTCTGGGGAAAAACACACACACACTAACAGTGTGCTTACAGCCCTAATACAGCTTCCAGTAAAGCCTCTGGTCCTCCCCTCCTCCCCCTTTCTAATCCCCTCAAGCGGATTGATGCCCTTAACTGGTCTCTTTCAAATTGTTCATCCCAATAGGCTCATTCTTCCTGAGCAGTTCTTGTGAAAACAAAAGCTTTGTTTTTTCTTACCTTTTTTTTTTTTAAAGTCTAGCTCTCTTTCCCTGGCTCATGGCGACCTCTGCCTCCAGGGTTCAAGTGATTCTCGTGCTTCAGCCTCCGAATAGCTGGGATTACAGGCATTCGCCACCACGCCCAGCTAATTTTTTTGTGTTTTTAGGAGAGACGGTGTTTCACCATGTTGGCCAGGCTGGTCTCAAACTCCTGGCTTCAAGTGCTGGGATTAGAGGCATGAGCCACTGCGCCTGGCCTATCTAATAAATATTTATTAAATAAACATGCTCAGTACATAGAAGCATTTCCACATGCGTGTTTCTTGTGTTTATTTTCTCAAAAACAGGATCTTATTCTACATGCAGCTGGCTTTTGTTACTTCACAATGTGGCTTGGGCATCTTGCCCTTTCAGTATATATACATCTGTTGCATATTTTAATGGAACTGTGTAGTGTTCTATTACGTGCGTGCACAGAATGTGTTTTCCAAATCCTACAGTGATAGCCATGCAGGTGACTTCTAGTTTTTGCTATTATAGACAATGCTGTTGGGACCTTCTTGTTACCTCTGTCCTTGCCTACCTATGCTTTTCTGTAGGGGGTATCCCTGGAAGTAAAATTGTTGCAGCAAGGGCCATGCACATTTGACTTCCAAATTACCCTGCAAAAAGGTGGTTTTGCAGTTTGTATTCCAACTAGGAGTGTCAGGTGGGGCCTGTGGAATAATGTTGTGACAACCCTTTACTGCTTAAAACCTACATTGGCACTTCAGATCTTTTGTTAAGTCCTTAGTCTGGTGTCAAATTCCGCAAAGGGTGTCCCTCATCTGTCTTTATAGCTTTAACTGTCATTGCTTTTTTTTTTTTTTTTTGAGACAGAGTGTCATTCTCTGTCACCCAGGATGGAGTGCAGTGGTGTAATCTTGGCTCACTGCAACCTCTGCCTCCTGGGTTGAAGCAATTCTCCTGCCTCAGCCTCCCAAGTAGCTGGGACTACAGGTGCCCACCACCATGACCGGCTAAGTTTTTGTGGGATTTTTTGTATTTTTAGTAGAGACAGGGTTTCACTATGTTGGCCAGGCTGGTCTCGAACTCCTTATCTCATGATTCACCCACCTCAGCCTCCCAAAGTGGTGGGATTACAGGCATGAGCTACCATGCACGGCCATCATTGCTCTTATAAAGCCTCTGTGCTTTGGTAAAGCCCGTGGTTTTTAATCAGGGTAGTTTTGCCCTCCCGGGGACATTTGACAATGTCTAGAAATATTTTGGTTGACACCACTGGGAAGAGAGTGCTGCTGGCCAGAGGTGCCTCTCCATATCCTACAGTGCACAGTGCAGCCCCCATAATGAAAAGTTATCTGGTCCAAATGTCAATAGGGCGGAGGGCAGTGGTCAAGAAACCCTGCTGAGTTAAGCTCTTCACTGATCTCAAAAATCAGTTGCTACTTGCCTGCCTCTAGCCAAGGATGGACAGTGGGTTTTATCTAACGTGTCACCGCCAATCCCTCCCTATGGGTAGCTAGAGAGCTACCTTGAGGATTCTAAGGCCTTGCCTTGGGTTCACTGGGGGGAAATGCTACACGGACCATTTAACAAATTGTAAAGTCACATTCCAGCAGGACGCTTTTGTTTTCTTTGTATTTTCCAGGGTGCCTCATGCATAGTTTTTCATACATAGTTGATGATTATATGAATCTTAATGTTGCCTGAATTACAGACACCTTACTAGTGATTAGAGTTTTGTAGGAGCCAGCTCTCCTAACCTGCACTGTTGTTTACCTGCCATTTGTCTTCAAGCCAAACATTTATATTTTCTGGTATTTATTTCATATCCTAAAGAGCTTTGAAATCGTAATAGGAGGTGATGGCTTGATGTTTACTGCATTGTCTTTAAAATGATTGTGGAATGAATATAATTGTATAGCTATCCATTGTAGAAGTCTGAGTGATCAAAAGGTCAGGAAAGATCAACAGGCATTGATTGCATAGTACCCTACCAATTGGCACTTGGGCTTGTGCCTCTTATGGGGGGATTATTTTTGTTTGGGGTTTTTGTTTTTTGGGGGGTTTTTTTGAGACCGTCTCACCCTGTTGTCCAGGCAGGAGTGCAGTAGCATGATCTCAGCTCACTGCAGCCTCTGCCTCCCAGGCTCAAGCAATCTTCCCACCTCAGCGTCTCGAGTGCTGGGACTACAGTTATGCAATACCATGCCAGGCTAATTTTTGTATTTTTTGTAGAGACAGGGTTTCCCTGTATTGCCCAAGCTAGTCTCAAACTCCTGGGCTCAAGCGACCTGCCCACCTTGGCCACCCAAAGTGTTGGGATTACAGTCGTGAGCCACCGTGCCCAGCCATGGTCGGGGGACATTATTTAGGTCAATTTTGAAATCTAGGTGAACCTTTTTTTTTTTTTTCAGTTTGAGGGTACAGGGATTGGTCAGCTTTTTCTGTGAAGGGCCAGATAGTAAATATTTTAGGCTTTAGCGGTCATGTGGTCTGTGTCACTGTTATCAGCTTTGCACTTAAAGCTGGAAAGCAGCCATAAACAATACTTAAATGAAAGGGCATGGGTTGAATAAGTATGTGTGTATAAAAGTAAATGCTTTCAGATAAGTGTGTATGTATAAAAGTATTAATGAATGGGTTCAGATAAGTCTGTGTAAAAAACAGGTGGTGGGTCTGTGGGCAGTAGTTTGTTGAACCCTCTAAAACCATCAATATTTGAATATTTGACTGATGAACCCTACTTTGCAAGTAAATGATGTTGAAGGCCGGGGGCGGTGGCGTCACACCTGTAATCCCTGCCCTTTGGGAGGCCAAGGTGGGCGGATCATTTGAGCCAAGGCGTTCAAGACCAGCCTGGGCAACCCGGTGAGACCCCATCTCTAAAGAAAATACAGGCCAGGCGCAGTAGCTCATGCCTGTAGTCCCAGCACTTTGGGAGGCCAAGGGGGGCAGATCACCTGAGGTCGGGAATTTGAGACTAGGCTGGCCAAGATGGTGAAACCCCATCTCTACTGAAAATGCAAAAATTAGCCAGGGATGGTGGCAGGCGCCTGTAATCCTAGCTACTCGGAGGCTGAGGCTGGAGAATCACTTGAACCGGGGAGGCAGAGGTTGCAGTGAGCTGAGATCATGCCACTGCACTCCATCCTGGGCAACAGAGTAGTGAGACCTTGTCTCATAAAAAAGGAAAATACAAAAAAAAAAAAAATTTGCCAGGCGTGGTAGCACACGCCTGTAGTTCCAGCTACTCTGGAGGCTGAGGTGGGAGAACACCGACCTAGGAGGTCAAGGCTGCAGTGAGCCATGATGGTGCCACTGTACTGCAGCCTGGATGACAGAGTGAGACCCTGTCTTTAAAAAATTTTTTCAAAAAGAAAAAATAAATGGTGTTGAAAACGAAATCATGAGTATGATGAGTACCCTCTGCAATGATTGTCCTGGGAAAGGCAGTGATTCACAACTTGTCTTTGTCTTCCCTCGTAGAGATGTGGTATGGTGTGTTCCTGTGGGCACTGGTGTCTTCTCTCTTCTTTCATGTCCCCGCTGGATTACTGGCCCTCTTCACCCTCAGACATCACAAATATGGTAGGTTCATGTCTGTAAGCATCCTGTTGATGGGCATCGTGGGACCAATTACTGCTGGAATCTTGACAAGTATGTTAGACATTAAAATACCAGTCAAAAATGTTTAATATGACTAGTCAATTTCAGGACCTATTTTAGAAACATATCTGAGTAGGATGAAGGAAAGAGTGACGTTTAACCACAAGTGTTTTTTTTTGTTGTTGTTGTTTTTTTAAGATAGGTCTCCCTATGTCAGCAAGGCCGGAGTGCAGTGGTCACAATCTTGGCTCACCGCAGCCTCGACCTCTCGGGCTCAAGTAATCCTCCTATATCAGCCTCCCAAGAAACGTGGACTACAGGGGTGTGCCACCATACCATGCCTGGCTAATTTTTTTGTATTTTTTTAGAGACAGGGTTTCGTCTTGTTGCTCAGGTCTCGAACTCCTGAGCTTAAGCGATCTGCCCACTTCAGCCTCCCAAAATGCTGGGATTACAGGCATGATCCTCTGTGCCTGGCCCAGTTTTTTTAATGTATTGATTTTTTTCCACCCCCAAGGCCCTATTACTTGGCTAACCTCTTTGACTTATTTAGTCAGATTTCATCTCAGTGGCTTCAGGGAAGTCATGTTAAACTTTGTGAGATATATCTTGTGAGAGAGGCCACCAGCAAGAGGAAAATTTATCTTTTCGGAAGCTACTTCTCCTTTCTGATCAGCTATCACTTGAGCGTTGGCCCTGCAATATAGTTGGTGAATTACTTCCACACATGTGGGTGTGATTGCTGTAAAGATAGGAGACAAATTCTGATGACAAGAATTCTTTGCTAGGTGTAGTGGCTCATGACTGTGATCCCAGCACTTTGTGAGGCAGAGGTGGGAGGCTTGCTGAAGCCCAGGAAATTGAAACTAGCCTGAACAGCACAGCAAGACCCCATCTCTACAAATAAGAATAAAAAATGTAGCTGAGTATGGTAGTGTGTGCCTGTGGTTCCAGCTACGTGGGAGGCTGACGTGGGAGGATTGCTGGAGCCAGGAGGTCCAGGCTGGGCTGCAGTGAGTCGTGATCACACCACAGCACATCAGCCTGGGCCACAGAGCAAGACCCGAGGGGAAAAAAAAAAAGAATTTTTTTTTAGAAAAGTACCCGGTTAGTGCTCTGGTTATTTTTTTCCCCTTAGGACTTTCTGAATAAGAATTGGAGTAACATGATGTTATGAATTATTTTCAGGCCTGTTTTTGGGGCATTTGTTTTGTTACGGCTTTTGCTTATGGGATAAGACACAGTTACAGAAATGAGAACAATAAGTTTAAATCATTTTAAAGTTCATACATAAATATAAATGTGTATTTCATATAAACTAAAAGTTCTAAGTAATTAAAATGTAAAATCCTCCATTTTCCCATCCCTAAATAATAGCCACAGTTTACATCGTGGTGTGTATTTCTTTTTTTAGATATAGGTATAAATATAAATATATTCTTATAATATAGAAATGTAATATTCCTACTGATTTGTAACTTTTTTTCACTGTGAATTGAAACCTTAGCGTCAAGCAGAAATCATTTGCCTTCTGTGTCTTTGACTTGAGGTTTTTTTTTTTTTTTTGAGAGAAAGTGGCCTAGTTTCTCTGTGTTCTAACTGTGTCACCTACTGCTTCTTTGGAGACTTTATGTCCCAGGATGACTGGCTCCTAGGGCCTGTCTTTGTTTGTTCTTTAGTAAAATAGGGATGAAACTACCCACCTCATACCCTTGCATGATTGAGCCAATGTGTATATGATGTACTTAAACATGATCCCTGACACATAGTAATTGTCGAATACATATTGTATTCATTTCTGTCTTTAAGGCTCTATGAATAATCTGTTCCCTTTCCATTTGCTGCTCCCTTGGATATACTTTTTCCTTTCTTCACTTCATTATTGCAATCCCACTTTAGGGCCCAGTTCAAGTTCCTTAAGCTTCTTTCTACCCAACTCACTCTTTCTGTGTTCCTAAATTTTGGAGGGGCCCAATGAAACATGTCTTTCAGATGTTAGTAACAAAATGTATGCATTGCCAGTGGAGGTGGGCATTTTAAATCACTAAATGTTCAAGGCAGCCAACCTTTGGTTAATACTGTTCTTTCTTCTTGTTAACATACGTTAATATACCTTCATATCACATTTATGAAATGTGCCAGGCATGGTGGTTTATGCGTGTAATCCCAGCACTTTGGGAGGCCAGCTTGTGAGGATCACTTAAGTCCAAGAGTTCAAAACCAGCCTGGGCAACATAGTGAGACCCTGTCTCTACAAAAAATAAATAAAATAGCCAGGCATGGTGGCATGTGCCTCTAGTCCCAGCTGCTCAGGAGGATCACTTGAACCCTGGAGATTGAGGCTGCAGGGAGCTGTGATCATGGCACCGCATTCCAGCCTGGGCAAAAGAGTGAAATACTGTCTCAAAAAAAAAAAAAAATTGTAAACATGTGATTGAGACACTGTATGTTATTTTGCATTATTGCAAATCTGTTTCTGTCTTGTGTCCCCAGCTAGATTCCTAGTACCTAGAGAATAGGGATCATACCTTATAAAACACAGAAGTGTTCTGCAGAAGAAAATTTGAGTGAATGAACACGCTATGACCAAGGAGAATTTTATTTGGTGCATTTTGGGGGGAAGGTCATATGGGAAATCTGGATCTATTCTTTTCTTTTTAAAATTTTTATTATTTATGTATTTTTATTTGAGAACAGGGTCTTGCTCTGTCACCTGGGCTGGAGTGCAGTGGCACAGTCACAGCTCACTGCAGCCTTGACCTCCCAAGCTCAAGTGATCCTCCTACCTCAGCCACCCAAGTAACTAGGATTACGGGCACGTACCACCACACCCAGCTAATTTTTCTATTTTTTATAAAGACAAGGTTTTGTCATGTTGCCCAGGCTGGTCTCAAACTCCTGGGCTCAAGTGATCCTCCTGCCTCGGCCTTCCAAAATGCTGGGATTGTAGGCTTGAGCCACTGTACCTGGCCAGATCTTTTTTTTTTTTTTTTTTTTTTGCGACAAGATCTGGCTCTGTTGCCCAGGCTTGAGTGCAGTGTCGCAATCTCGGCTCACAGTGACCTCAGCCTCCTGGGTTCAAGCAACTCTCCGGTCTCAGCCTCGCGAGTAGTAGGGATTACAGGCGCATGTCACCACACTTGGCTAATTTTTTGTATTTTTAGTAGAGATGGGGTTTCGCCATGTTGCCCAGGCTGGTCTCAAACTCCTTAGCTCAGATGATCCACCCACCTCGGCCTCCCAAAGTGCTGGGATTACAGGCGTGAGCCACCGCGCCCAGCCGGATCTGTTCTTTTCAAACAAATGAAATGTTAACTTTCTTGGTACAATGCTGAACTCCTATAGTAACTTAGATGGGTATCTGCATAGATACAGGGGTTTTTGTTTTGTTTTCTCAATTTGCGGGAAGTTATAGTGACTAACATAATAAAAACAGTCAATGACTTGGGAAACAGGAAGGAATCCCTGAATCTCTCCTCTCATGCCCTGTGAATTAATAACAATATGACTTAGAGTCCCCCTGTCTTCCCTTCTCACCCCTCTACTCCCTCCTCCATCCATTTATTGAAGGGAACTATGAGTATGACAGAAGGTGGCGCAGGGGTTCCCTGTGGCCTGAAACATTTCTTGCTTAGTCTAACTCAAAAGACTGTTTTTCATTTGTTACCAAAAATGTAGTAGATCCCTGTTAAAGGTTAGGCATGGGGTAACTGGTAGGGGAATACACAGATATTTTTGAGTTCATAATCCAGTCATGTGGGAATTGCTATCTTTGTGATTTTGATTATTTCTTCTAGATTATTTTATTCAATAAATCTAGGAGACTCTTGGTTTTAAGGAGTCAGCATCTAAAAGTGATCTGCAAGCCATGTAATGAATACTCAAAGCCTAGAATAGTCCACAGAAAGAATAGGGAAGACCTAACATTTCTGTAAGATTTAGATTTCAATGTAAAAATCTGGAACATTCTACTGACAGTAGTATGTTAAATGTTGTATTTTCATGAGTTTGTTAATCTTGGCTTTTTGTTTTTGTTTAACATTCTTGCGTTTTAAATCAGGTGCAGCTATTGCTGGAGTTTACCGAGCAGCAGGGAAGGAAATGATACCATTTGAAGCCCTCACTCTGGGCACTGGACAGACGTTTTGCGTCGTGGTGGTCTCCTTTTTACGGATTTTAGCTACTCTATAGCATACATCCTTATGCTGAGATGTTGAACCTAAACTTTATGGAATCCTCCAGAAGAATACATTATGGAGTGTAGTGTTTTCTTAGTTCTTCAAAGGGAAGCAACTTGGATGAACAGGAACGTGAAGAACAACATCTCAGCCTTTTCTTCATTTTGAAGCTCCTGGAATTGAAGACTTATGTGGACTCCTATCGTTCTCAACCAAAACAAGTCTTTTGGCTTTCTTTTTTGTAGATATTTAATTTAAGCAGTTTTCACATGTACCTTTACCGAAGCCAAGTCAACAGTGTCTCTGGGGTGGCATCCTTTGCACTGAAATTTACAGTATTCTGTGAGATGTCGCATATTTTGAAGAAACTATGGAAGATACTGGTTTATTTCAAATGAGCAGAGTATGTTGTATTAAAATCTTACCTAATCTTGATTAAAATTTGGCAAACTCTTTTCTTTACTAAATCTTAGTGACAGTAAATGCCAAATAGGTTTTGGATAAGTATAGTTTTAAAAATAAATTTGGTGAAATAAAACAGGAAAAAAACTTTAAGTATAACTCAAGTAGAGGCTTTGGTTCCACTGTTTAAAGAAAAAGTAGATAACAATGAATAATGTGACATTTTCTGGACAACTGTCTTGACCTCTGATTAAGATATTTTAAGAGATGTGAGTTTGTTATTTTGTATGTTTTATCAGAATAAGCTAGCTAATCTAGACTTTTTAGAAGATTTTCTGTACCACCTTTCCCTATCCCTTTTCTCTTAATTTTATTCCATTTAATTGGAAACATTCATACCCTATTAAATGGCTTAAGTTGGAAATTTTGAGCCAGATTGGTTTGGACATTGAGGCACAAATAAGATACTTTAAGCATTCTATCACAGTTTTTCTTAGTGACTTTGATATACTAATGACCCTTGAGAAACTATATAGAAGTGCATCTGAAACTAGAGTTAGTGGTTATTGATTTTTTAGCTTAATGTGTTCACCTGGTGGTGACTCTTCAGCCTACTTTTACAGTATTGGGTATCAACTCCCAGAAAGTGCCTAAAATTTAATGTTCAGATATGCACCCCTCTCCCCTTTACATTTTTATTCAAAAGAATTTATACCTTTAAAGAGATTTAAATATCAAGAGTTTTTTAAAACTTAATTTTAGCTATTTAAATTTTTATTCGACTGCCTAACTTTCTTTTTCATTAAAAGGCCTGAAAACTGTGACTTTTTGAAAGGGAAAGGATCACAGAAATTAAGTATCTAATGTGATCCTTACCACCTAAACTGTTTTGTATGGAATACAATCAGTGTGGTGGTAGTGGTGGTGGTTATCTGTCTTCAAAATAGTTTCTGGTAATTAAATCTTACTTTTTTTTTTTTTTTTTTTTTTTTTTTTTTTTTTTTTGAGACGGAGTCTGACTCTATCGCCCAGGCTGGAGTGCAGTGGCGCAATCTCAGCTCACTCCAACCTCTGCCACCCGGGTTCAGGTGATTCTGCTGCCTCAGTCTCCTGAGTAGCTGGGATTACAGGCACCTGCCAC